ACACACACACACACACACACATATATATATATATATACATACATATACCTATACATATACACACACATATATATATATAGATATATATAAATATATATATACACATATACATACATATACATATATAAATATATATATATATATATATACACGTATACATACGTACACATATATAAATATATATATATATATATATACACATATACATACATATACATATATATATAAATTTCACATACCCAAAGGGAACATGCCCCTGCTCTTGTCCCCGACACTTATAGCCACCGGCGGAGCTCCCATAGGCGGTGGTGGCGATGGCTGGCGCCAGGGTGTGAGAACCTTGTCCTACGGGGTTTGATAAGTACAAAGTGTGTGCAATTAGCGTGTGATAGGCGTGACACGTGAGAAACGTGAAGTGGTGTTTTTAGTGCTTGAAGAGTTCTGTTTGTGTGTGTGATAGTGCAGAGCGCGTCTTCAAATACGAGAAAGTGATAGATGATGGTAAAGTATATGTTAATTAGTTACCTAACTAGAATGAGACAAAGAGTTGGTATAACGTGATAGCGGATTTCGAAGCATGTGTCAATTTGTGCCTACTTAGTGATGAACTTAAAGTTCGTTGCACGATGCTTGAGAGGTCCGAAGTGTGAGTAAAATAGCGTACAATAGAGTCAAATCCGCATTTAGCTCTGAAGTGCAGAGGGGTATCGAAGTGTGTGCCAAATTGGTCTTTCACCAGTGTGGGATGATACATGGTTATCAGATACCGCGCCCAACGAATGCGAGGCCTTATGACTGACTATGCGATGCTTGAAAGATATAGTTTGACAGCTAGCACATAGTCAGTGTGTAATAAATATAGCAGCTTACAGGGTATCAAAGGGATGTGAAGGGCGTGTGCCAATTAGTCCATGGCCAGGGTTCAGGGTTTGTGATGTGCGATGGTTATTAGATGCTATGCCCGACGAGTGCGAGGTTTTATGGCGGACTATTAAGTATGGCCTAGTGAGGTGACGAAAAACTTTGTAGCAGGATCTTTGATAGGGTTTAGGGTTCTTTACTAAGAAGCAGTTCTAATCAGATAAATACACGAAGTGAAGGGGACATGCGTAACAGAATCTCAATATATATAACATGTGGTAATACTGGACATGTTGGATACAACCACAGTGATAGAGAATTCTTATGATCATATATATATATGACACACGACAAGGTACTCTCCATATCGACAAGAAATGTGCCGGACAATGCGTGGAGGCATATCATACACATAATAT